AGTATATCTACTCGTGACTGAGCCCACCAAGCAATTTTACCCAACGTGGTCCGATATTCGCCTGCGGCTTCATTGGAAAGAGGCTGTTCATCTTGTTCCGAACACTTCTTGTGAAGTTCCAGTTCTGGTGGAATGGTGGTCGAAGTCAACGGTTCACACAGCTCCTGGAGATACTGCGGAGGAACTCGGATGAAAAGGGAATCATTATTACTCCTTCGGGCGATGGTGCGTCCAAGAAAAGTCACAAACCCTTCTTCCTTCTTGCGTACTTCGCCACAAATCTTCACTGAAAAGCGTCCCTCAACTCTTCCAACGCGCCTGGGCGGTCAAACCCAACGAGAATGTCATCAACGTAGATTACACGAGAAACTTTTCCTTTGGAATTTTCCTCGAAACACACAAGGTTCGCCTGGACAAGCCATGATTTTCGCATATGGACTTTGCCAACATAAGCTACGCTTTACTGGCACACCTAAGTCCATTTAGTGCTCTCTTCAGCACTGCGATCGCTGGTTGATGTGAATGCGGTGAAAGGCTTATGTCACCTGGTGATCTTACGATCACTTTCATGCCGGGCGGTAGGTCACTGTTCATGAACGCCGTCGAAACATCAAGGGTTCCAAGATGCCAACCTTCAGGGGCGGTCTGGATCAACACGGCTCTTACGGCTTCGGAGGAAGGCGTGGACGATGAATAGCCGAGTGTGGACGCAACACCATGTCCTGACGCGATCTGCTGAACGACCATTCTACATCGGACATCAGGGGCTCCATTGATTTCCTTTTCGGTGTTGACCCACCTACAGCCTATAGGCTTAAGATCGTGTCGTTTACAAAACTCATCGGCTTCCGCTTTTCCAACAATTTTTTCAAGTTCAACCCTTTCCGTTGACGAAAATTCAGTGGTCCTAGAACCAACAATTTTTGTCAACATCGAGCACGACCTTGCGATCTTCTGAAACGACCTTTTCCGGCCACCAAGCTTATATGAAGAATAACTTGTCTTTTCACCCATCTTCGGCAGATACATCGGTGAAAGGATATTGGCTCTTTTATCAAATAAGCCTAATGCACCAACTTTTAAAAGATCTTCTTCTGGCTCGTCTGCAAAACGAGATGCAACAAAACACTCCAAGGATCCAAACACTCGAACAATGGCTTCTTCATCAATTCCCATGGGATCATCGGGCGGGCCATCTGTGGGGGCATAAGACACGGATTCCATGTCCTCGTCGGCATAACCCGGAACGGGTTCAGGGGGATCAAAAGACACGGGCTCACGAACCTCACCCTCTGCTCCGGCAGGTGCACCCGAAGACACAACTGGCGGACTCTTCTGAGTGGCCCGACGGCCCCCGGTTGGATGATCAGGACGCGAAGACGGTTCATCAGCACCTTTGAGCGCCAGCGGTGCAGGAAGTTCTCGGGAAAGGAATTCGGATTGCTTCTGGCGTTCCTGCTCTAGCCAAGTACGGTATCTAGCTTTATAGGCAGCACTGTGGACTCTTCCATGAAGAGAAACACGTCCACAAGCAGAACAGTTAGGTGTTCTACCGTACTTCTCAAGCCAGGCTTTAGGAGGACCAGTCTTAGGCGTGGGAATAGGGTTCTCATGCTTATCCTCTATGGGATCAAACCTGCTCTGCCTATCCTTTCGACCATCTTCTAATGCGTTCTCCAAAAGAAATGGACAAAGATCTACAGCAAAAACCATCTTTGAGAGAATCTTCATGGATTTTGCTCTAAAGGCTTTCAACTCTTCTCCATCAAGCTTGCAACACACAACCGGTGCTCTCGATCCATATTCGTAACCGAGGAAGGCGGCCGGAACGAAGCGAGGGGCGACATCGACTGAGAACCAAACATGGTCGACTTAAGGAGTTGTCTGGGACATCTCCCTAGTTTAGACACAAGTACCTTCTCGGTGAAACGAAAACATGGCAGAGGCCGGTGAAGCAGGCTCTACACACAACCCTGAAACACCAGGCAACTGTACACGGGCGAAAAGGGGAGTGAAACGGAGGAAACGGAGCGAAAGGAAACGGCAGCGCCACGAGGGCAAACGAAGAAAGGCAGGTGGTAGAGGTGGGCCCAAAAGGCTGTCAGCAGTGCACTGCGGCATCCAGGAAAGAGGAGAAGAAGCGCAGAATCAGGACAACCATTCAATTCAAATGGAGCACCACCCGGAAATCTCACTGGACTTGATCCCACTCTGCAGGAGAGCCTAAGGGCTCGCCAGTCTGCGCAGCACTGCCCGGGCATTCTCCCGCTGGAGGGTGATGCCAAGGGCCTGCAGCAACCGCTGCGTTTCAACAGCCCGACCTTCACCGCCACGGGCAGTCAGGGCATCACTCACTCAGAAGGCGCCACGCACGGAGCGGTGGGCTCCCATCCACCTCCACAAGCCTCAACGACCAGGGGCCAGAATTGAAGGCCCTCAGCAGCGCACGATTGCTCCGTCTGCACGTGCTGGCACTTGCGGACCTCGTAGTCAGCGCTGGCGCGGGCACCATCAGCCGCAGAAGCAGCAAGGTGGCCTTGCCGCAAACCAGAGGTCACAGCGAGATCAAAGGCCGCCGGCCCGTGGAGGTTCCAGTGTGGTACCCAAACGTCGGCCGGGCGACGTGCACCAGAAGTGTCAGAGCCGTCCTCAGCCCCTCCATGGAGCTCAGGACGGGGAGGCAGCAGGTTGGCTTTTTCAAGTTCAGGTTGCAAGCCGGCGGCCCGAGCCCGCGCCCCCAACAAATTGCGCAACTCGTTGTGCCGCTTCACGCGATCTCCGACAGAGGGGCAAACACGGGCATGATCCCCAAACTTGTCAGCAACACCATCACAAAGTGGGCATGCCAGGTCGTCTTCTGCAAGAGGCAGCCGAAGGCGGAGCCGAACCATGGTGCATGGAGCCCAAGCGCGGTGTTCGGGATGGCGTGTAGCCACGCGCCTGCTCCGGGTTGTTGTAGAAGTTGAAAGTGGGCCCGGAACGATTCACGTCCAGCACCAGGCGCAGCCAGCTGATCAACCACAACCTGATCGAGTGCCTGGGACAGCTGTTGCTGTCGCAAGGTGGATGGCACAGGAGACAGGAAGCGGCGACCCGCTGGGAGCTGTTCGTTGACCACATCAAGGGCAGCCCCCGTGTCAGGATTGTATGAAGGATCAATAGCGGAGCACAACGCAGTAGTAGCACACAAGGAGGCAGCATAGCCGGCAGCAGCGTGTGAAGACACGCGACGGAGGCCCAACCCTCCGGAGCGAGTGGACAAGCCAGCTTGTGACCACGCCACGGCTGTTAAGGGCCCACTGCAAGCTGCTTCCAGGCAGTCCCGGACTGCGGTGTCAAAGGCCAGGAAAGCTGGGCCCGGCCCGGTGGGCGGTGTGGTCCGTGTTGAATAAACAAGCCGGCAATAGCCAGCGCAATGCCGCAACAGCATAAGCACGACTTGCGGGTCGGGCAGCACGGCCAGAGCTTCAAGCAATGGGAGTGCTTTTGCAACCCGCTCCGTGTGAGTGTAGGTGTTGCAGAAAACATCATCGCCAATTGGTGCGCCGAGTAAGTCGAAGGCACCAGATTGATTCAGTGGAACACCGTCCGGGAAAAGGGCCATGTCGACGCTGGCCGCCGCTCCCCCACAAGCAATCAGTTCACATTTGGCTGGGTTGACTTGAAGACCAACCTGTCTAGCAGCCGCAGTGAGGCGAACCAAGGCTGCGCGCACCTGCCGGTAAGACCCGCGGCTATGCAAACATCATCCAAGTAGCCGACCACCAAGGAAGGCTGCAGGTCTCTGGGGCCCGAACAGGCAGCCTCCAAGGGGATCACCTTGCTGCACACCAGCCTCAGAGCTGAGAGGCGCCCCGTGGAAAAGGTGGCCATAGCACCACTCAGCCCAAGGTGACAACCCAGGGAGCCGAAGGCGGGTCTCCCGCAGCAACGAGGCTCGATCCACAGTGTTGAAAGCGTTGCTGAAGTCGATCTTGAGCAGGACTTGCTCACGCTGGCCAGCATGGCGTTGGACCCACTGACGCGCGGCATGGACAACGGCTTCGGCGCTATGCCTGGCGCCGACGCCAACTTGCAAGGAGCCCAACCAAGCTTCAGCAGGTTCACGGACGTCGGCACACAAGCATTTCGCAGTGAGCCGCCGAAGCGTTTCCCCCACAGCAATCGGGCGGACATCGGCGCCCCCCTTGGGCAAAGCATGAAGGGTGGCCCCAGCAAAGTGCGGAGCGATCTCAGGGCGTGCCTCCCCCCCGGATGAGAAGAAGGACGACCGCAGTCAATTGCACATCCCCATGGGCAGAAGCTAAGGCTTCGCGGAGGTGATCCGCCCAGAGTCGGCCCAGCAGCACTTCCACGGCTGAAGGACCGGATGGCCCGACCCACATCCTCAACGCCAAGGTCAGGGACAGCTGCAAGGGAGGGGTTCCCCAAAGCAACCAAGGCAGGTCGGGCAGGCGCTGCTTTCGGGTGTTTGCCTTGCAGACGGTCCACCACATCCCGGCTGTTGTCAAGGAGCGGGGGCGAAACCAAGGCAGCACATGCTCGGGAGAGCTCACCATCAGCTCCCAGGCGGCAGCAACGGGCATGTCGAGCCTCTAGTTCTGCGTCTTCGTCACTTGCACCTGTGCTGCGCGGAAGGCGGGGCGCAGGCAGGTCATCCCAAAGCTCTTCCCTCTCCCCGGCTAGCCACCGGGCACAGCGTCGTTGTGTGAACTGGGCTGCTTGTAGCCGGTGCCGGCGCCCACTGCGCAGAGCGGGGGGGGAGCACAGATTTTGGAAGCATGAAGAGATCACGCCAAGCCTCTGCACTGTTGGTCGCACTAACCCGGCCGAGGGCACGTGCGAGGCATTGGGCCCATCCGGCCCGGGCTGCCTTTGGGACATGGCGCAGGACCGGGGTCGGACTAGCAAAAACCGCGTCCAGGCTAGGGCCCTGCAAGACAGGGGCAGGGGCCGCAGGGACAGAGGGCCGACTGCCGAGCGGCAGGGCGGCAGCGCGGATGCACACCAACCAAACCACCACAAACAGAGCAAAGGTCGAGGTGCCATCGGGCCCGGTAAGCAACAGGGACCTCCCCAGCCAAGGTGCCGGCAGCATGGTCTTCCAGGTGAGGCCGCATGGCTCCATGCGATGCCCAACCGCGGGCAGTAGTAGCCCCGGCCGGGCATCCAGGTACTGGGCAAAAAACCCGGTCTGGTCGGCGTGGCCCTAAGGGGGACCGCTCGCGCTCAGAGGCCCCAGCATCCACCTGCATGGGCGGCCGCTCACCGCCCAAAGGTGTCCCGGGAGCCGCCGGGCCGGGGTGGGTGGCTTCACCAACCCGCACACCAAGGAACCCGCACCGACGACGGAGCCGCAACCTCCAGGCCGGGCGGCGGTGCACCCAGTACACTCGTCGATGGCTCCACCGGATCCGCCCCACCACAGGTAAGTCACAGCAGCCCAGGCTAGCATGCCAGTGTTGCTGCAGAGCTTGGGTGAGAAGTCGCTGCTCAGCACGGCCAACTGGGCGAAGATCCTGGGCCCATACGGGAGGGCCACGAAGCCACCGGCCCCCAGTGAAGGGAGAACGCCGGCGACCAACATGCCACAGCCCCGACAACCCGTTCCCCCCTCGAGAGGAGCGGGAGGACCAGTCACCACCAAAGAAACGATCGACCACCACGACAAGCAGAAACCACGCGAAAGAAGCCAGAGACGCCGTCCCCACCCCCCAGCACCAGGGCCGCGGCCGTCAAACCCGAGCAGCACCAGCGGTCACTCGGACATGGGGGCCGGCCTCGCCCAGGTAAGACAGCGACAGCCCCGCGACAACGGACCCCCGAGGGGCGGGTGCTCGGAGGCAGCGGGACTTGAGCAGAAGGTGACTTGAGCCAAGATACTTGAGCCGTCTGTCCTGTCCGGTCACGTGTTGTACAGGGGCGCGGGTGCCACCAAACACTCGGTGGTGCTGGTTGTGCATAGTTGCTACATACCTCACTAGATACGGCAACGTTTCCGAGTTCACATTTAGACGGAAACCTGAATCAAACATGTCTGTCTCTAGACACGCTAGGTTCTCCTTCAGCACCCGCACAGCTCTCTCAGCACCACCTGTGCTCTCCGACTGTGGCGCAGACTTCTCTAGCTTACATGGCAGAACGCCATCTAGCAAGCTCGTCAAAGCAGGTTCAGCATCGACTCGAACGGAGATGACCGTCGAAGACGGTCCAACGACACCGACGGAACGAGCCCAAGCACGAATCTCATTCTGTACCACTTCACGGCTTTCAGCATCAGCTTTCACAAAACCGAGTGCCCCAACTCAGCAAACACTAGTATCTTTACCCCGCCTACGAAGCAGAAGTCAGGTTGCACTTCCATCGAACGACGGCTTTGTCTTTCCGACTGTGCCGAAACACTCCCTTGGCTCCCACACAGGCTGGACACGACGGGTGATAGGTTGCGCGTCCTTCCATCCTATGCTTTACCAAACTAGAACTGACTTCACCCCAAAGTCTGTTTTTGGAATCGGTCCGATCGAGTTCATCGGCCGGAATGGGGTCCAAAGGTTCTTCGAACGATGGTAACGGGATGTCTGCTGACTCGATTTGAGCCATGGCCTTACACGGTGCAAATGGCTGCGGATTCGCGATCACCAGCTCTCGTCCGGACTCACTTCGGTCTCGTTCTGACTCACTCCGATCCTCCAAAGACGGCGGACTCCGGAACTCGGAAGGCTGACTCACGTTCCAACTCAAGACTTTCCCTTCTTCTTCAACGAGTTCACGGCTTTGGTTCCGGGCGATTGGATGGTCTCAGCCTGACTCACGTTATCCTCAAAATCACTTTTGAGCACGGTCTCCAACGATAAGGCTATGTCAACTTCCATGGCTTCTTGGGATCTCACACTCTTACTCTTGCTTGTACTCGCGGATGACCGATCCACAGATGGATTGCGCTCATCCTCACCACGGACAACAAGCCCAGATCGCTGGGTAACAGACCAGGGATCCGAGCGACAACACACAGCTGTCTTTCCTCATCACGAACGTCCAACCATGACGTGTCATCTGGTGAGCGGAGAGGAGGTTATGTTCCACAGGTGCCACTAAAGCTCGAACAACTACGAACTTATGCACAACGGACTCGTTCTGGTGAAATTCCAGTGGTAAACGGACACGTGCTTCACGATCAACTGACATGCGTTCACCCGAAGCGGTAATAAACACCAACGGTGGACTAATCGACCTCTCCTTCAACACCTAATGGCGACTCAAAAACTGTGCACCTACGACGCTCCTAGAGGCTCCAGAATCTAGCAACCACCAGCTTCCTAAATCCATCGGAGTCTCGATAGAGCTAAAGAAAAGCCCTTCCAAAACACCTGTAGGCGACTCGAGGGACTTACTCTTTTTATCCTTCTCTTGACTTGTTTCGGCTTGGCCCGGGCGATCGTTCTTTGGCGTTCAAACTCAACATCTTCGAGCACAGATGACGACAAGGTTCTACACTAGACTCAGCTGGGCTTTCGAAAACTCGCTCAACAGGCTCTTTCGAAAGACCTTCATGCGGTTCATGCGTAGTGGGCTCTGGCTTCAAAAACTGCTGACTCGTGAAGAGGCCTATCTGGATGCACATGCACAACTGCAAAACTAGTCCAACAGTCTTCAAGCACATCTGCTGCCAAACCGGTCTTGTGTGCACGAACGTTTGATGCACAACTAGTCTCAAGTTCACAAGTTTCTGGAACACGGTTTGTCTCAAGTTCACAAGCGTTTGAAGCATCTTCAGGAAAAACGTGCGGCAGTACCGCTTCAGGAAAAACATGAACACAGTCAAACCTAGCTCTTGCTCTGGCTTGTTCAGCTTTGACTTTGTCTCAACTCCAGCGAATGCTTGACTGCACTCTGAAGGCCCGGGAAGGTTCGAACGGATGCTCGGCCATAGGCTGACGGCGATGACCCCTTCCACCAAGCTTCGGAGAAAGGAAAATGTGGAAAACTTCAAAGTCTCACAAGAACTTGCATCTAGTTCAAACTCCTCTTCACAAAGACTTGGGTCTAGTTCAAACTCTTCACAAAGGACTTGCGTCCAGTTCAAACTCTTCAGGAAAACGGGTTTCTGGAAAACTGGTTTCTGCAAAACAGATTTCTGGAAAACGTGCTTCTGGACAACTCTTCAAAAAACGCGGTGAGTGACATCGACTGCACAGTTCACAAAGGACGTCTCTAGATCACCGTTACTGTTCACAAAGCGTGACTCTGCATTTCCTTCACGATAACTCAAGGTCTCTACCACAACGGTTCAACTCATCCTCTCCTACAGTGTCACATGCACGAAGGCTCAACTCTTCCACATCTCCTAGTGACTCGGAACACGAAAAACAGGGTTTTCAGCATCTCACACGGCTCGAAGCTAGTCAGCTCTACAATCGGTTCGGGACACGGGGTAGCAACTACAAACATGCTCAACCTAATCTCCCCTTCTTGCTCACTCCAACCCGACTGCTCATCGACTTCAAAAGCATGAGCATACTCAGCTTCGTAATCTAACCCCTCTGGCTCTTGCTCTGAGGCTCCATCACCCTCATCGGCGGCGAGTTCGGCTGCTCTTAAAACCTTTCTTGCCTCCTTTGCCACCTTTACCTTTGCCTGAGCCTTTCGAGGACGAACCACTAGGCGCGGTCGATGAACCCTTTGCTGACGCTGAACCCTTGGCGCTAGCTTTCCCTTTCTTTTGACACTGGGTGGCCCCTTCTCAGAACCCTTCCTAAGCGTGCCCTGTCTTGACGATGGGTAACTACCTCCATCCTTGCAGTCTCTAGCATAGTGACCCTTACGATTACGTTGGACAGGTCACGAGGCTCAGTCGTGCTAGCGGACCCGGCCGAGTTGAACGCTGACAACGAAAGTTGAGGCACCTTGGAAAATCTTTCCCCAACAAGCTAGTCCGCTCAAAATACTTGATTGTACTGGCACGTGCTTCTGACCAGGTGTCACCCGCATGCAAGTGTAGATACGCTCTAGTGTTCTCATCTAGCTTGAGCAACAACAAGCGAAACTTCTCCAAATCCGGCAACGACAACTCTCCACGAAGCGTCGAATCGGCGATCGTCTGCAACAATCGGTCATACAGTTCTCTCCAACGCTTGCACTATCTCTTTAGCATCTAGCTTGGAAGCCCTGCCCACCCGATAGTTCAGGATCAACCGCCTAAAATAGTACCCCTCTGTACGTGTCAAAATGGCAAATTCATTCTTCAACTTTCTCAGCAGACCATACCCGTCTGAGGTTCCAAGCCTCAAACAACCTACCAGTCGTCATGACTGTGCTGGATCCCGCGAATGCTCGCTTCAAAATGAAGAACAGCCGTTGTGACCTCTCTTGTACTGCTACCGACATGGCATCTGGGACGATCCTATCTGCTAGCACTAGTGCTATCTCAGTGTGGTAGGCAGCCAACGTACTAAGCCAACTCACCAAATTCTCAAGGAACGATCTAAATCCTAGATCTGTTGCGGCCTAGTAGTCCACTTTCCAAGATCGCGGGTTGGCATACTTGGGATCAACTTGGCATCTACGGTCTTCAACGGGTTTCCGCTAGATCCGGTCGAGCTCCCGACGGCGCTCCCGGTGGGACGACATTTGCACTCATGCTCTTGGACTGTTGCTGGTGCATCATTTGCTGTAACATCTGCATCAACATGCTTCTCTGCTTTTGCAACTGCCCTACTTGCTGTTGTAACAGCATGACAACTTGGTCAGACTGACTCGGCTTCCCACAGGCTGACACCCTGACAGGCCAAAACCTCCAACACCTCCACCTGACAAACCTGTCAGGCCAGGCCCTGGTAAACTAGGCACAGGCCCTGCAACTCCTGGGGCTCCGAAAGGACCTTGTGGCCACGTCGCTGGGCTTGTCGCACTTGCGCTTGCGAACTGCATCATCGGGTTTCCAGGTGGGGGAGGTGGAATGCCAAACTGACTGCCAACGTAAACAGGCAAAAGCGGCATGTTTCCAGACTGCACAGTTCCACTTCCAGACTGCATGGTTGGACTGCACATGTGTGTGTGTGTCCATGTTGTACATGTGTATTTCCAGGCTGCACATGCGTCTGCAACGACATCAACACTAACTCTTGCTCAACACCCTGTGGTTCTACAGCTCCTCCTACATCACAAGGACCCTGCGGACACCCACCTCTTACTGAGGTTGCACTTGGCTCTAGACTTGGCGGTCCACACAGTTGTGCCAAACCTCCACTGCTACCCTCCGGCGTTCCGACTGCCACCGTGTACTGACCTTGGTCGTCAGTCGCTGCCATGTCAAATGTCTGCGGCTGCTGCACACTCAACTGCGGTGCATTCGGCTCTTGACCTTGACTTTCCGTCTGCGCACCTGGCGCCACCTGCTGGCCTGCAACGCCTGTAGGGCCCTGCATACCTGGTGCGGCCTGTTGACCTACAACGACGTGCCGTGCATGACTGCAGCTGCATTAACACTTTTCAAAAGGAAGAAGAATGGCCACCAGCTGCG